TACTCCATCTCACAACTCAATAACCCAGATATTGAAACCCCTGACGAATTTGCAGACTCTGAACCATCTCCATCCAATAATTTTCAAACCAATCCCTCAGTTTTTTCGAAACCCCCTTTTCAACCAATCCCACCATATAACCCACTCCCATCCATTTCTACACCCTCCTATGCTTCACAAGTTACCCCAACCTACTCAGATCGATCATCCAATTCTCCAGACACCCCCCAAATCTCCCAAGAACTAGATAATTTTATCACCTTACAACAACAACCCTTCCACCTTGAAAACCCCACTATAAATCAGATTTCATCCACAATAGAATCATCAAACCCACCTACCCCTACACCCTCTTCAGCTTATACCGCATCATTAGCACCATCATCCACATCCACCGAATCATCAATTAGCACTAATAGAGCTTACCGCACTTTCAAAAGAAAATTCCCAAACCATCCATTTCCAACAAAACCAGGAACAGCCCGTGAATATATTAATCATCCAAATCACACTAACACGAAAGAATTTTTAGCAATCGCGTTACCTTCATTTCCACAGTATACTTTGAACACCCCTACAGATACTAACGATACACGTAGCTTTGTAGATGAACAAGTTTTAATGCCTACACTTCATTGGACATCATATTATCATTTTACTAACCCCCTTTGCCTACCTTTATCTAATACTCACATCGATATAGAACGAAATCAAGATATGCTATATCGACTCACTACACCACTAACACATAGACAATTTACTTACATCGGATATAAAAAATCACTAAAAACATACACTGCACCCCGAGCTAACGAATATACGCTAGAATATTACGATCATAACATCATCCGAACTAACCAAGACCAATTTTTAGATGATGATCGCTTCGCTAACCCACAAATCACAGAACAATTTTTCATCAAAACACCATATGTTTTTACACTCAATATATTTGATCGCAAATTCGACCACATCATTTCTGAAGCACTAACCGACACACAAGCTTACGAAAGTTTTAAAGAAAGATTTCAATTATTTTCACTAACCTTTCATTTCCTTGCACCACATGAACGAGATTTGCACTGCTCACATGACATTCTGTTACGCACTAAACAAACCCACACATATACATATTACCGCTTTATACAAAATCACTTTGACCTACACACTCCATCAAGACAACCACACCATCGTTTTCAATTTATTAACTCTAAATACACATCACCATTTTTTCTTAACTTCACATATTGCATCAAAGATACTAACCTTCACGGTATTCTTCGCAATTATGATCCCATAACCCAAATGTATATTTTTTGTCCCATCGCAAAGACCTTCAACGCAGAAGAATCCAGACCCTTCCTTATCCCACATGAATTTGTTCAACCTATAGAAATCCCCATATTAGAATTCATCCACAACACTAAATATAACCACAAATTATATAATCTCATCCAAAACACACCTTATGATTTTGCAGTTGGCACTGAAGAACTAAAAACCATTAAAGCACTTCAATTGCTTTGGCCACTGCTTCAAACTAAAAACATCATTCGCATACTAGCAAAGTTACTAACAAATTCCGACATAATCCACGACATCTTCCCCCACGGTTTTTCCCCGACGACTAACAGGTAAGTATAATTTATACATATACTAATAAATTTAAAATAAAACACTAACCATTCTTTATCCATGTTTTATTTAGATTTTTAGTCTTCATCTCACGATCATCTGCAAAATACACAAAAGAAAAATAAAAAAAAGAAAACTTCTTCAAATTGTCCCAAACTCTAATAATCTTTTGCACCAGCTAAATTAAATAAAATTCATACAAATGTAATAAATTAATTTATAAATTATTTCCCTAAAAGCAGTAATTCTAATAATGATGAAAATTTGTAACTTAATTTTTCCCCAAAACAAGCAATAAAATTGAAATTCTATGTAGTAAATTAATAAAACGCAAATGCAGTACTAACTAACCTTTTGATATTTTCATTCACTCGCACAAGAATTCTATCCAAACTCGCACAGCTCGCCCACGAAGAATTGTTTAAATAATGAATTTCAGTTTCAAGCTTTCACACTCAACAACTCTAACACACGATAACAAGTTTCAAACTTTCCTTTAACCCGGTTGGAAAGGAATTATATACTAAACAAAACTAACCAATGCAGCTTACTAAACACCACAACACATAGAATAACAGAATGACTAAGAAAAGGAAACCAACGGTACCCAAACCGGATTAACCCAGTTTAAAACTGGATAATTTATTCTTTTGAAGACTATTATAAAGTCTAAGAAAGAAATAATAAAACACAAAAAAGTCGAAAGACAAACCCATACCAAAAACAATTTGATTTTTGAAAAAAGGACAAAACCAACGAAACATAAGAAAAACCACAATAAACCCAACATAAAACGTTATCACATAACAGGACCTCTCACAGAAACCGCACGAAATCATACTCCCACTCCTGGCCTAACCCACCAGAGAGGACGTCCTGAGCATGCTCTATAGCCGGCCTAACCCACCGCGCTACATCCACGCTTTGTGACCACACTCCTCTTTTTAATAAGAGGTACTCAAGGGTGAGTAACTCTTCAAAATAACTGAACTAAAACAGAAAGCTTTTGTGAAAACAACTAACCAAAATCATAACTAAAACACTAAACTAATAAAAATTTTATAAAATGTAAATTATATCTTGCAGTATATAGATCAGCATACAACACCAAAGACGAACATCCAAAGACAAAATGACCCCACTACACTCGAAAAAAGAATGGCCAACCACAATCAATATGCCGCCCACAATCACAACTCAAAGGATTTAGAGTACGACTTGACTTCGCAGAAAAGGACTTCATTGAACTAGAACAATGACCACCTCGATGTTCAAGTATACGTACAGATCCGAGTAACCAGGCATCCCCTCCACGCACAATCTCCACGCCATTCCCAGACAAGGTCAAACACAAAGAAGTTCTCTACATGAAACGAAAAAAAAAACCTGTCATAGCCAACCATTCTGAAATCAGATTTGAGTTTGTTGCGAAAACCCAGTCGTTGTCATGAGAAGACACAACGATTGAATCTGGAACTTCTCTAACAAGAGAACCCAGACGAAATATGATGTTCGCCAAATACCAACGTCCATCATCCATCTTTTGAATTGCAGAAAGACTATTCTAAAAAAATCTGTAAAACCCGGATGGGTGGAACCTGATCTAAACTACATTTTATGATTGGATAAATTAGATATTTTACCACTGTAAAGTATTTAATATTAACCAATCATGATCCATCTAACTAACAACCCACTTATTTGTAAGTGCTGGAATTACTTGTAATTTCAGCACCAGAGAGATTTGAATTTAACTTAGAAATTAGTTGACTCTCCAAGAAGACTTCAGCAGCCGCAATAAACCAGTATACCCTAGATCTATTGAGCCTAGCAGAGACTAGTTAAACACCCTGAGACTAGATAGTATAAGAGTAAGATTAGGATCGGTATTAGACTAAGAAGTTGCACGAATCTATCCGGCCGAAATTAAGATAGCGTGACGAGCAGACGGTGTACCCTATCCGAAATTACTCTATGAGTTAACCACCTCGGTTCTAACTCAGTAGGTACCATAGGGGGGAGATTGTTAAGTAGATCCCAAAATTCGGCTAATAATCATAATCTGCTTGAAATTTCAATTGAAATGGCAGAAAATGTAGATAGAACTTGATTGGCTAATTAGCCAATCAAATTCATCCACAATAATTTCAGTTCAAGAGATGTAGAAATATTGAATTTTGTCCGTTTAGTGCACAAGACCCGTCAACTTAGTTATTATACCAATTCATGAGCAAAAGCAATTAAATTTTTTGATCAAACAAATTGATTGAAACTTTTTTTCAGCTAGAATGGCGTTTATCCCAAAGTGAAACCAATTCTTGGCCGAAAATGTTAATTCAAGTATGTCACCAATTGAGGAATGGGTATAATAATGCTCATGCATGTCAATAAAAATTTTGTGAATTTTTTAGAATATTGAAAGTTTAAAATCGCGTTTTTTTTCTGTTCGCTCAGATACCTAAGCAAAGTCAGATGCTGTAAATTTTAATTTATTTTAATTCTTTTCAATTTCAATCAACCATTTTTGTCTGCTCTGCTCTGCTACCAATGAAAGAAATAAAAATTTATATAATTAAGTGTTCTTAAATTTGATGATTACGCTTTTACGTTAAGATTCTACCGGACATTATTTGACTTTGTTTGACTTCAAAATGAGACAACCGATAGAAATTTTGTGGCTCTTTTCCAGTTCCCCCCCTTTGATTCTTTCTAAAAGTCATTATATGAAAGTCTATTTAAAATGACTTGTCATTTTAGAAACTGCAGTAAAACGTGTCAGCGTGAACAGGTGAACACATTTCTAGAACACTTCTAACATGCAAATTGCCGCGTGAACAATGATTGAACATCTTTGTTTTTTAATTTAACAAGGGGGTGGTAAACTGGAAAAGAGCCAGTTTTGTAATTTATGTTTTTCGGGGCAAATTTTTTGTGAGTTATCAATATACTTCGACCGTGTTTGATACTATTCGACCCTGCATTTTTCTGGTTTCGAACCCTGCTCGGCCCATGATTTGGCGTAGATGGCTTGAACGCCGTACCCACGTCTCAGGGTAGGCGGAAAACTTAATATGTTGTGACTATATCGGTCGTGTCATAAGTCGAGCTTCTCAGCCCGAAAATCAAAAACTTGAGATTGTTATTCTCAAAACTGAAAATTTTCTCAATATTTAATAATGCAGCTCGAATCGTGAAAAAAGCTTGAACATCAGAATTTTTTAGGCCCCATATCAAACATAAGATAATGCGAACAGCACCGGCTTTTTTGCAATGAGATTATATCAAATCTTGATATAATTTAAGTTTTCAGCGTTTTAAAATAAAAACAGATAAGATAACTAACATTTTTTTTATGAAAAGGCAGTTTTTTTTGCAATAAATTTAAAGCTCATGTAGATACATAATCAATCGGGAAATCATAATTAGAAAGCAGCAAATATTCAATTCAAAAATTTAGATTAAATAGATTGGAACTGAGTCTCCCAGGCATCGTATTTGCTTTTCAAGCCTTTGGCCGAGGGTTTGGTTTTCTCGAGTGCTTGCAAAACATCTTCAGTGGTTATCGTTTTCAAACTCAAGGTTTGTGGAAGATCTTTGGCTGATTGGCAGTTTTCAAGCACGTCAAAAATATCCCGGACTTTATCCATTGCAGCCTCTTTACACACAAGCCTTATATCTGAACCTGAATAACCTTCTGATTTTTCGGCTAGTTCTTGGTAGTCTAGATTTGTGTGTAATTTCAGACAACTGTGACTGGCTCGGTCATTCAGTAGCGTCGGCAAGAACTTCTGGAACATTGAATCTCTGGCTTCTGCTATGGGCAGGTCAACTAGGATTCTTTTTTCAAGCCTGCGTAGCATTGCATGGTCCAACATCCAGGGTAAGTTCGAAGCAGCGAGAAGAAAAACGAGATCATCCGAACGTGCGAGCCCATCCATCTGGACCAAAAGCTCGGTTTTCATTCGTCGACTTCCTTCGTGTTCGGTTCCAAAACCCTCGCCTCGCTGGCTGATCAAACTCTCCAATTCATCAACGAAGATGGTACTCGGCGCGTGGAACCTGGCCAGATCAAATAGCACCCTAACCAGTTTTTCGGAGTCCCCGCGCCATTTACTGACAATACTCGAAGCAGAAATGTTGAAAAAGGTCGTATTGCACTCGCTGGCGACCGCTTTGGCCAGCAATGTTTTACCCGTACCCGGGGGCCCATAGAGAAGCAAACCCTTCCAAGGAGACAAAATTCCTTGGAACAGTTCGGGATACTTTATCGGATAAACCACAGCTTCCTTTACAAGCTTTTTGGCGTTGTCCAAGCCTATTATATCGTCAAATTTAACGTTTGTACTTTCAAGATAAATATCTTTGCTTATTGAGACTGCGAGTTCTCGCATTTCGGAATTGTAACCCGCTAATGCGCCGACTGGTTTCAAAAATTTGTCTTCGTAATCAGCACTGGTCTTTTTTGTCATGACATCTGTGAAAAAATTTTTATTCGCACCATTCGGATTTGGATTCTCGTGTTGACCATCTCCAAAAATGGCATCTTTTAACAGGGCTCGGTAATCGATTATTTGACCCGCTTTTGCGCGACCCGTTTGCGGTTCGTTTTTAGCTGTGACGCCTTGAACGCTTAGCCCTGAAAAATTGTTAACACTATTTGCAGTTGAACTTGAATCTGAAGTGTTGCTTTTCGTGTCGTCTTTTGGACTGCTTCGTTTTATTGTCCCGGCCGAAGTTTTCTTTTCGGATAAAGTTTTCTGAGGAGTTGCGTTTGAACTTTGAGGTCCATTGCTTGATTGTCCAGTAGCTCCCCCCGTAGAAGGTCTATTTTGATCTATTTTAGGTAAAGAACTTTGATTAGTTGTGTAGGATCGTTTTGGGGTTGGTCTTTTGTGCGCTGAACTTTTATCATCAGATTGGTTTGCACCATTTTTCCGAATGATTCTTGGGTGTCGTTGGAATTTCACAAAATAATACGACTCGTATTCTTGTAGAATTGTCTCCAGATCAACATTGTCGGCAACTTCAAAGGTATCCAGGGGCAAGTTAGTTTCCGAAGCCAGAGATGAAGCGGTACTGGTGAATCCGGAGTTTCTCAGGTAGTCATGCATAAGAATAATCACATTTTTTCTTCGCTGGTCGGCCTTCGTCTCTTCGGCTTCTCGAGCTTGATTGGCGGAACGCAACGACATATAATTCATTTCAGCAGTGGCCATCTTAGAACATAAAAGTGAGATCGGTATTCATTTTTTTGGTATTGTGTTTGTAACAAAGATGAATGATACGACCATGGTTAAGCATAACCAGAATTCTATCATGCGTCAAGTGTATATTAAATAGCTGTTTTATTAAGCACGTGCACACCTTTGTAATACATAAGATTTTTTTGTGTTTATTCTTAGCGATACTTTGATGTGGTGCGCTTGAAAAAAGAAGATAATTTAATAGATTTTTTTCAAACTTCCACCCGCTTCACAAAAGCATCAACTTTATGGTTTAACGAGTGGTTTCATAAAGGTAATTATGGAGAACAAATATGTTTATCATGGCCTAATCAATCCGTATGTCAATTTTCAGGACAAATGTGAACAAATTTTATACTTGTAAAAATTTAGGCTTTTTTCTTGTTCCCCCTTCAAAATACCGAGTTCTAAGTTTGTTTTACGTGTTATTACGACTAAATGCGTGATGTTACGCTGTAAAGTATGAAGAACAAATCTGTTCAGTTGTCGATTTGTCAAATTTCATTGCATTATGACAATGTTAAATAAGCTTATCAAAATTGAATTTGAAAAGGGGGGGGGGACTGGAAAAGAGCCAAGCGTTACAGGTGGGGTTAAAAGGAAAAGGAGCCCAAAGTTAATCATTCTTTGAATAGTTTTGAATGGTCTCGCGTAAATTTGAAATTATTTTTGCAGTGGTTTGCTTGAGTTCAACGTTGAAGGTTAGAAATAAAACTTAAGTTGACATTTTCCGACTTTTATGAAAATTGATATCAATCCTCGTCTGAGGTAGATAGAGGGGGGGGGGGGGGGGGGAGTCACGTTGAAATTTCACAGATACCATTCACATTGAAAACCATGTCGTAGTAAAAAAAATCAAATTGAAACAAATTTTGACGATTCAACTGAATTTATCCGTTAAGTAAGAATTTCTGAATGCATCGGTGGCTAAATGATAATGGCTCTTTTCCACTCTCCTATTTCAACTTTTTTACAGTTAAAACTGTCAACAAGTTTTAACGGCTAAAAGCTTGATATTACAATGTAAAGTTTGAAATCTGTTCACCACCCGTACCCAACGGAGGCGGTTTTTCTAGATAGAGTTTTTATATAGATTATTTAGCCTAGTCTTCTCATGTTTTCTGTGCAGAAATTTTATTTTTCTTTCTCGCTAAGAAAATAAACCGTTTCTGGAAAGAAATAACAAGAAGTCAATTCACTGCTCAGCCGCAACGAGATAAACATGCTTCGAGTATGCACATTAACAGTAGCAATATAATGCAAACTAATACTTGTTATAACAAGTCCCATTTTGCTAAAACTATCAACTTTCATCAAGGTCTGAAGCATAGTGGTTAGCACAACCGCAGAGGAAACAAAACGTCAGGGGTTCGAGCTCTAGCAGTAGATTTTTGTTTTAGCTTGAAATAGCCTAGATTTAGCTAATTCCTAATCCGAATTAAGAACTTGAGAAATAAAGAAAATAAAGAAAACCTCTGCTTTGTTTGAACATTTCAAAAGTATTTTCTGACCAGATTAGATGTAAAGTAATTCAGGTCAGAAGCAAATAATTTTCTCGTTACGGGAATGCAAAACTTCTGTGCATGGCGACAAATTTAAAATAGTCTTTACAACTTGAAAATTAAATAGGGGGAAAATGGAAAAGTACCATAATAATGACCTATGGCTAGACTTGAGTCGTAGCGCAAAAAATACACCCTTTTTTATTTCCTTATTTCTAACCAGTAGTACAGAATCAATTAATCGGCTCTTTTTCCTTCCCCACCTGCGAACTTTTCTAAATAAAATTTTTGTTCATATTATTCGATGATTAGAAAATTGGCACGCGGACTAAATAAGTCATGACAAATTTAATTTTTTTTGTCTTCATTTTAAACTTTGTAAAACTACTCGTCGCACCATAAAAATATCCATGATATTTATTTTAAAAATCAAAGCTCAACGGGGTGTGCTTTCATTTGCGAAACAGTAGTTTATCGAAAAAGTTGTTGATCAAAATTTGGGGTCCAAGATTTTGTCAAGATACACATGGTATCACGGATCATGACAATCTTGGAAAGATCATGACAAATATTGTATTGTCTTGTCGAAATATCCATGATACTTATTTTAAAAAAGAAAACTCAACGAGTTGTGCATGGGTAGTTATACACATTTTGCGTCTTATCGAATAGAATTCAGTAAAGTTTCACTGTTTTTGCTTTTTTGTGAAAACTGTTTTCAACGTATTTTGAATCTGTTTCGTATGATTTTGATTTGGGATTTGTTGAAGTAAAAAATGCTTTTAAACTGATGACTAGAAAAAATCCTAATTGTTTTCAGGTGACATATTATATAAAGGGACCCGAAAATATCTTTTATATCATTATTTAAATTGTTTGTCTTTCTTAGTATAATTGTTAAGCTTGCCCTTCTGCAATCAAACTTTTTTAAGTTTGTCTGTTGCTTTAGTTGAGTTTCAGGCCTTTATTGTTGATGTTGTGCTCTCAGTTTTTGTCTCTATAGCTCACTATGGAAGTTAGCGTGAGACGGGCAAGTATTTATAGTCTTCTGTGACAAATAATGCTGAGCTTTCTTCCTGACTACCATCTCTCTCTCTCTCTCTCTCTCTCTCTCTCTCTCTCTCTTTCTCTCTCACCCCTCTCTCTCTCTCTCCATCATTTGAACAAAAGTCTTGGAAAATTTTTCCATGATTATATCAAAGATTCATAGTAGCATGGCAATATCGCCAAAATATTGCGTGGGTTTTGGATATCTTGAATGATCTTGTAATCTTGTATTTTGCAATATTTTCCAAAATCGAAAGACTGGGCAAAAAAGCCAATTAATCCAGTTACTTTTAAAATAAAGATGAACTTCTTGTCCTTGTTTTTGATTCAAAATATCAGAGATAAATTGTTGGGACAGACCATGAAAAAGGGTCTTCCCAAAAATATAAAAGACTGCTCCTATCAAGGCAAAACCCCAAATAATCCGATTGCCATTTAAGGGCCAAAAAATTTGTCACTTTTTAAAGAGATTTGAGAATTGATAAAAGTTCAAAAAGTTTTTAAAATTTTACTCACCGGGCATATAAGTACAAAAAGATGTAATTAGCGTTTAGCAACATACTAAGTGTCCCAGAAATGACTAAATGGAGTTTTTCAAACCGCCATTGCTTAGGTGATATACCCTTTTTTAATTTCAGATCAGGATGTCAAAACTTTTCAGATGGTATTAAAACCTCAGTTTATAACCGTCATAATGAAAGCGCGAAAATTTCTGAAGAAAGGAAACCACGCCCTGCATCAAGTTTTATCCTTTCCTTCAAATATTGGAAGACTTTGCAAATTTTCCTAGCTCTGTCTTCTTTTGCTTTTTCTCTAACCTCGCAAAATAATCTTTTATGCTTTAACGGTGTTTTTATAAGGTAACCATGAAGACTATTTGAAATCATGGCCATTATATAATGTTGAATTTTCGAATAAATTGAGAAACATGTATGTGCTTTCGTTTTTTTAGTCAGACTAATTTCACAAAGAAGTTTTACAGCGTGTGCATATTGATCCTGGTATCTTAGGATGGCCAAGCGCTTGTGCTTGGATTAGTTTAAAAGCCTTTGACGACTGCTTGTTTATTACTTGATACTTCCAAGACGCAAATTATATATGGGTGATTGTCAAAGAGATCCATTTTCATAATCATTCCAACTTGATTGAGGAGCAATGAAATTTTTTTCGTATTCGATTAACACTTTAACACTAAATAATTGATCTGTTGGCAGTCCATAAATCATAGTTTATCTCGAAACTAGTTAAGAGCAGTTGGAGCAGAACATTCAGGGCTTTAAGAAACTTCTTTATGGGAAATTGGAATGTTTGCTGAAAGCTTGTCTGAATGTATGAACTCATACAATCAATTTTGTCTTCAAATAAAATGATTTTATGAAAATAGCAACAAAAAGAATTGCAAAAAAAAACAATAAAGATTTTATCCATTCAACAAATGTCCCCAAACTCATATATTTTCTCAGAAGCACCTAATTTTGAGGAAGACTTTTTTGAAAAACACAAAAAACACGCCATCAAAAACACGCCACAACTTTCAAAATTGGCAATGAATTGAATAGATTGCGGTTTTTTCGATACTTTGCGAAAAAATTTGGGAAATTTAAAAATCTTTTCCTGAATCGAGGCAAATTAAATTTAAAAATTGTTTCACCTTGCAGGTTGACGCAAATTTATTTCAATCAGCTGCTTGAAGGCGAAGCCTTAGAATTAAAGAAACGTTATCAAAAATTTTATCAATTTACAAGAAAAAACTTTGATTCTTAAGTGGTGATTTGATCATTAAATCAGCGTCACGCTTTCATAATATTTTCGTCTCTGCTTTTCACCAGAAATCTTGACTGATTAATTGAGTCTAATCAAATGTTTCATTTTTATTTTAATCGTCCTCTAAGATTAATTGCATTTGCTTTCCAAGCATGGCAAGCATGGCGTGCAACATAACCATACAAAAAATTTATTTGTGGAACCAATTGAAACTATTTATTTTATTTATATTTTATTTTCTTGTGAAAAATTCATTACTAAAAATCATGATCCATGACTAAACCTCACTCTTTAGTTGTGAACCCAGAACCCTAGTGGTTCCGAGAAATAATAATAAAGATTGAAATAAACTACTTCCTTCTCTCCTCTAACTTTGCAATAAAACGGTATATATCTAGATCAAGTTAGACTAGGAATTACAAGAGTAAGATTAGATTTGGTATTGGACTAAGGAGTTGCACGAATCTATCCGGCCGAAAAAAGATATCGTGACAAGCAGATGGTGCACCTTATCCAAAATTACTCTTTGAGGAGGCTACCCCGGACCTAAATTCATCTGGTGCGATCAACGAGTACAAATTAAACCTACTAAAAGTTTAGTTTTAGCCACCAATAAACAAATCAACAAATAAAAAAGAAAAAATTAGCTTATTTTCCACGTTTCAATAAGTCTAAATAGGCAGAGTCAATATTCAAAACAAAACTTCATCAAATTTTCTTTTAAAAATGAAAACTCAACGAGTTGTGCATGGGTAGTTATACACATTTTGCGTCTTATTGAATAGAATTCAGTAAACTTTCACTGTT